GAATAACTTTGTAAATTATATTGCTTCCGCACCTATCTCTCCTCACCGGGGCCCCTTGGAGGAGTGTGGGTTGAGTTTCTCTCCCCACCCCGAGCAGAGCCCCAGCAGCTGAAGACCTCCAGTTCCAGCCACAGCCATGCTTAAGACCACCCTCCACACATTTGGACAAGCCTCAAGCATGAAGGAACTGGCACCAGGTGTGTAGGACCCAGGATGTAGATCTCCAAGCCTGCTCGGATTGGGACTGGGCCTCCTCCACCCAGATCCCCCATCTTCCAGTATGTAGGCGTTATACCCACCAACTGCCCCCAGCTCTGTGTAATCCCATCAATGGCCAAGACCTAGAGACTATAAAACCCAGCTCCCGGATATTTTATCACCTAGTTCTTACTCTGGAGAACCTGGCAGGCTCCCAAAAGTATCCTGCCCACACGGCAGAGTCTGGCAAACTCCCCGTGGTGTATTCAATATGTAAAAAACCAGTAACAATGATGGGTCTCATTCTCATGACCCTGAAAGAGCCTCCAATGTGGCACTTTTTAAAATCTCAGGGCTAGGATGAAAGAGACGTTACTGGGGCCTGCTTGAGGCAATCGATGAACAACAGGATGACAGTGATATAGTGAATAATAAATAAATAGATAATTTTTAAAGTCAATCTGCTGAACATCTGTAAAGGGAAGGTAAAGGCCCTCCCGTTGATCGTCGATTTGCTCGAGCGGGCCCAGTAACGTCTCCATTGGAGACTGTTGTTACTGTGTCTGGCATACTGAATACTCTTGGTAGCTTGCCGGGCTCTCCGAGAGGGGCGGAGGAATCGAACTCGGGTCGGCCATGTTGGCCGCTTGTAAGGCGAACGCCCTACCCGCTGTGCTATCGCTCCAGCCCTGAACATCTGTACTTATCAAAAATCTGCTGCCATACCCCGTCAGAGCACCACTTCACTGATATTGAGGCCTTACAAGCTTACTGAGTTCACTAAAAAACAGCCAAACCTGCTACCCAAGACTTGACCAACTGAACAGTCCATGGGAGTGCAGCTGAACAGGCCACCTAACTAACCTTAGCTCTCCAGAGAAGCTTCACAAACAACTTAATTGAGCTATATTCTATGTTCAAAAATAAAAATTCAATATTATCACAAAATAAGTTATTCTCAACTTTGTAGATTCATTCCAGCTTTAGTTAAAAATTCATTCCAGCAAGAGGGCAGAAGCAATAGTAGAGTGGGTAGGGCACTTGACTTTCATGCAGGCAACCCAGGTTCGATCTCCAGTATTCCATATGGTCCTCTGAGCCTGCCAGGAATTATTCCTGAGAACAGAGCCAAGAAAGAGCCCTTCGAAGTGCCAGATGTGGACCAAAAACAAAAAATTCCAATAAGAAATTTTATGAATATTAACAAACTCTAAAATTTATATAGATAAGCAAAAGAACCATACCATACTGAAAGAAAAAAATCTGAGAACTGATACTACCACTCCAAGACTTAATTTAAGGCCACAATAATTAAATTATTAAGAGAGTGAACAAATAAAGAAGTCGCTTTGAAAGAAATGATGACAGTTTCTTATAAAAGTAGACTTCATTTGAATAATGATGCAACAATCATGCTCATTGGTATCTTAATAAGATCTATTTAAAACTTAGATCTACACCAAAACTTGAATATGCAACTCCAGAGTACTCCTAGTCGTAGCCTTAACAAACCTGCTTATACAAGTATAAAACAGGAGAAATTCCCACTTGATACCCCATAAGTCAGGCAGAGAAAAATAATATATATGCTATTTGGAATTTTAGTAGAATATGCAAATTAAAGATGAATAAGAAGAGGCTGCTAAAATCTCAGGGCTGGAAGAAATAGAAATGTTACTGGCGCCCGCTCGAGTAATTTCACATTCAACAGGATAGCAGTGATACAGTGATACAAATTTGGGACCAGGAAGATAGCGCAAAGAACTGGAGTGTATGTTTTAATGAGGATCCTAGGTTTGATGCACAGCCCATGTGATCCTTGAGCAGAGAGCCAGTACTGATCCCTAAGCACAGCTGGGTGAACCCCTCTCCAAAAATGAGAGACACACTTATACAATCTTGCCTTTTATGTAGAATCAACATTAAATTAAAAGCCAAGTAGTATAGGTGTAATAACTCTTTACACCAAAATCATAAACATTAAAATTAGTATAATCATGTTACCAAAACTGTAATAAGAATTTTTAAGAAAGGAAAGCAAAGACATGAAAAATGAGAACAAAATGACAGTTTCAAAGGTGTGGAATAGGGGCAAATGAGAAGATTTTGGTCAAAGGAAATAAATAAAGGCCCTCCCGTTGATCATCGATTTGCTTGAGCGGGTCCAGTAACGTCACCATTGGAGACTTTGTTGTTACTGTGTTTGGCATATCGAATACGTCACGGGGAGCTTTCCAGGCCCTGCCGCGCGGGCGAGATACTCTCGGTAGCTTGCCGGGCTCTCCGAGAGGGGCGGAGGAATTGAACTCGGGTGGGCCATGTTGGCTGCGTGCAAGGCAAACGCCCTACCACTGTGCTATTAAGATGATCATATTCTGGACATTGACTATAATTATCAGTATATTGCCTATAATTGGGTCAGGTAAATATAATATATTATATTATACTATATTATAATCGTCCAGATCCCGGACGAGAACAGTGCAGTCTCTGCCCCGCGCCTGGGTGTTCCTTCCCGGAGTCCCTTGGAGGGGAGCGGGTTGAGCTTTCCTCCCCGCCCCGACCAGGGCTACGGCAGCCGAAGACCTCCAGGACCAACCACCACCATGCTGAGACCACTCTCCGCACACATGAAGGTACTGGCAGAGGGACAAAGCCACGCGGGTTCCGGGGCCGAAACCTCCAAGCCTACTCGATTTGGAGTCGAGCATCTTCCACCCAGATCCTCCAAATTCCAGTAGGCGGGGGTCACACCCACCACCTGGCCCCCTGGCGCCGTGTAATCCCATCAGCGGCCAAGACTCAGAGACTAAAAAATCCAGATCCCGGACGAGAACAGTGCAGTCCCTGCCCCGCGCCTGGGTGTTCCTTCCCGGAGTCCCTTGGAGGGGAGCGGGTTGAGCTTTCCTCCCCGCCCCGACCAGGGCTACGGCAGCCGAAGACCTCCAGGACCAGCCACCACCATGCTGAGACCACTCTCCGCACACATGAAGGTACTGGCAGAGGGACAAAGCCACGCGGGTTCCGGGGCCGAGACCTCCAAGCCTACTCGATTTGGAGTCGAGCATCTTCCACCCAGATCCTCCAAATTCCAGTAGGTGGGGGTCACACCCACTACCTGGCCCCCTGGCGCCGTGTAAAATCCAGATCCCAGAACCGCATGGCCGCATTTCCGGCCGCGCGACATCTTATTATCTCATTCCTACTTTGGACAAACTTGCAGGCTATCGAATGTAGCCTGCCCACAGGGCAGAGTCTGGCAAACTCCCCGTGGCCTACCAAATATGCCAAATACCAGTAACAATGATGGGTCTCATTCTCCTAAAGAGCCGTGAATATAATCTCCGGGCTAGGATGAAAGAGACGTTACTGGGGCCTGCTCGAGGCAATCGACGATTAACAGGATGATGAAATGAAAAAAATTATATGATTGATATTAGTTCCTAAATTGCATACTTATATATTATAATTATCACCAAATATATAAACATATCAGTTAATGAACGTTTTGATTAATTTATTATGTCAATAATGCAGGTATATAGCGTCTCACAGGTATATAACATTTATGTACCAATTATATTTGAGTAAAGCTGAGAACAATGTAGCTGAAATTTTTCTAACAACTTTATTCATATTGCAAAAGCACTGAAGAAAATAAGATGTCTTTCATTGGGTGAGTGTATGTGAAGTGGTATATATATACAGTGGCTTATTCAGTAATAAAAAGTAATGCACTATCATGTCATAAAAAGGCATAGAGAAATATAAACTATGCCAATCTCAAAAGGTTACATAGCATAGAACTCCAATCATATGACTGGAGAAGGAAAACTATGAACAAAACGAAAAAAGCAATGTCAGTGAGAGGTTCATATAGGGCTGAGGATTTATAAGAACATCGGAGAGAATTTTTAGATCACTAAAATTATTCTGCATGGTAATACACCAGTATACAACTGGAGCAATAGCACAGCGGGTAGGGCATTTGCCTTGCACTCGGCTGACCCGGGTTTGATTCCTCCGTCCCTCCTGGAGAGCCTGGAAAACTACCGAGAGTATCCAGCCCACACAGCAGACACTGGCAAGTTCCACGTGGCATACTCCATATGCCAAAAATGGTAGAAACAAGTCTCACAGTGGAGACGTTACTGGTGCCCACTTGAGCAAATCGATGAGCAATGGGAGGACAGTGCTACAGTGCTATAAATGCTGTTAAACACTTTTCCTAATGAATAGAATGTATAGCATCGTGAGTGAATCCTAAACCATGGTCTCTGGATGATAATAATGTGTTACTATAAACTTATCAGCTGTCACAGATATACTACAATGATGTGGAAGGTCCATAATGATGAGGGCTTCTGGAATATGTGGAAAGTGTAGAATAGCGATTTCAAAAGAAGTGTTCTCCACTTTCTATTAAAATATCTATAAATATAAAGCTTCTCTAAATTTTTTGTTTTAATTTGAAACATGCCTATGATGACGATGCCACCAACTGCATTTGTATGTGCTAGAGGACCCCTAGACCCACCTTAAGACCTGAGGTTCAGATAGAAATAGATAAAAATATGGAATGAGTTTTACTATTTTTAACTACCTAAGTTTGGGACATAAAATTCCAAAGGCAGTCAAGGATAGTTATATTACTTTTAATAGTGTGACATTGAGTAAATAACATGCCAACATTCACATATTTTGACATATAGTATTCACTAGGCTCTGAATCTTAAAAATTATATTATTTTCCCTCTGCCATTTCAGAGATCATATTTTACACTGTTGGGATTCTGTTCCAATCACCTTTTGACCCAGAACTTCTTCATAGCATTTTTCACCTCTGCATTTCTAAGAGTATAGATTAAAGGGTTTAACATCGGCGTAATCATTGTATAAAACACCGCCACAGCTTTGTCAATGGAAAAAGTGACCACGGGGCGCATGTACACAAATATGCAAGGCACAAAGAATAAAACAACCACCGTGATATGAGAGACACAGGTGGAGAGGGCTTTGCGCCTTCCCTCCCCACTATAGGACCTTAGAGAGTACAAGATAACCACGTAGGAAACCAACAAAAGGAGGAAGTTTAATAAACAGATGAAGCCACTGTTGGCCGCAACAAAGAGACCAAGGGTATGAGTGTCCGTGCAGACAAGTTTCAACAAAGGGTTCAGGTCACACATGAAATGATCGATGACGTTGGGGCCACAGAAAGGTAGCCACACGGTGAAGAGGATCTGAATAGTGGCATGGACAAAAGCTCCGGTCCAGGCCACTCCCACAAGGAGGCTGCACACCTGTTGGCTCATGATGGTTGTGTAGTGCAGCGGTTTGCAGATGGCCACATAGCGGTCATAGGCCATCACCGTGAGAAGGATAATTTCTGCAGCACCAAAAAAGTGCTCAGCAAAGACTTGAGTCATACACCCCTGGAAAGAAATGACTTTTCTCACATGAAGACTGTCGGCTAACATTTTAGGGGTCATGCAGGAAGAACAGCAACCATCTATGAAGGATAAGTAAGAGAGGAAGAAGTACATAGGGGATCCTAGGTCCCTGCTGGTGCTGATGGTGACCATGATGAGCAGGTTGCCTGCCAAGGTGACCAAGTATATAATTAAAAAGACAGCAAAGGAAATTCTCTGAAGCTCCATATTCTGAGTAAGGCCCAGGAGGATGAATTCTGTCACATTATGCATACTCTCCACCATTATTGCAGTGACTGCAATAATAAAATCTGAAAAGAAAATCACAGACATTCTCAATCTTAGAATCTTCACTTAATAAATAAATGTGAATTGCTTATCTTTTCCTATGCTTTGCAAAAGGGAGAAATAAGCACAAAATGATTGATTCTTACTTTAACATTTGTGATTTGCAGTAGCATTATAGATGAAATTATTTGATACTTTATCATGCTCAGGGTTGCTTTTAATTTTCTACATTTAAAATGTATGACTCTTAAAATCAGTAAATAAAAATACTATCAGTCAAGTTTTCTGAACTATCTATAATCTGGCCATATATATGGCAGTCAAAAATACACAACAATGCAAGTATATTTTTTCCCAAGATGGCCAGACACATCATTAAAAAATTAAATTTATTCTACTATTTCAATCACATAAAAAAAAACATAGACATATGCAAATTCTTTCATGAGCCATACCTTTTTCTACGTTACCCATATGGAAGATTCTCCACTTCCTTAAGATGAAAAAAGTGGTAATGTGACTTCCTCCCAGTTTCAGTGGCACATGTCATGACTACACTTGTCATATTTTCCCACACTCGTATCTATTTATCCAATGACCTGGGTCCTTCAAGACAAGAATATGCTTTACTAAAATTAAGTATTATTCAGTTTTTTATTCCCTATAGTACTGTAGCACTGTCCTCCCATTGTTAATCGATTTGCTCGAGTGGGCACCAGTAACATCTCACAACAAATTGTGAGATTTGTTGTTACTGTTTTGGGCATATCAAATACATCATGGGTAGCTTGCCAGGCTTTGCCATGTGGGCGAGATACTCTCGGTCGTTTGCACAGCAGGTAGGGTGTCTGCCTTGCACATGGATGACCTGGCTTCAATTTCTCCTCCCCTCTTGGAGAGCCCGGAAAGCTACCGAGAGTATCTCGCCCACGTGGCAAAGCCTGGCAAGAAACCTGTGATGTATTCCATATGCCAAACACAGTAACAAGTCTCATGATTTGTTGTGAGACGTTACTGGTGCCCGCTCGAGTAGATCGATGACCAACAGAAGGACAGTGCAACAGTTTTATTCCCCATGCTGCAAAAAAAAAAAAAGTAGCAACTCATAAACTTTTTACTAAGGTAGGTGACAGGAAAAAAAGAAGGAGAAAAGTTCAAAGAAACTAAAAGAAAAATAAATTAGAAAGTACAGGGGATAATTCACTAGAGGCTGAAGTAAAAATAGGATTAAGACTAAAAGACTTTGTGGAGTTCATGCCTGCTTCAGTCAGCTTAATCAATGACTGAATAAATAACTGTACCTCTACATTAAAAAAATAAGAATAATAAAATTCAAAAACTTCATTTCAAGCCCAAGAACTACTTCTATAACTAATAATATAATGTTAACTATGCATCAGTTTATTTTGTCTTTCTATGATGAACCTTTCCATCTTCTAAAAAAGAGAATGTGCCTATATTTATGATACATAGTTATATTTCTATCTAGTATCATTATGAAGGTTAAATTATCTTAAACTTACTATTATTTGCTGTTGTTTATGGTTTACTTTTATCAGTGTGTCACTAAAGAAAATTTCCAACATTGTCTTTGAGCATCTCTAATAGGCAAATATTCTGAAAAGTTAAACAAGTGGGGAGATATAGAAGAACACGGGAAGCAATGATGAACATTGGAGAGAAAGGCTAGAGGATAAATAGGAAAAAACATGCACAAGCAGACAGCATCTGTCAGTCCCCAGCAATGCATGGCCCCCTAATCACTGCTATGTGATGCTGAAAAGCCCTGAGCACATCTGGGGTGGTCTAGTGGTCCCAACCACACAGGGCCCAAGCACCTTTGCATTGAACAACCAATTGGCCAAATATTGGCAGGAGTGACTGGGCCCCTCAGAGCACAATTTGGGAAAACCTCTCAAAAAAAAAAAAAGGAAAAGAAAAGAAACAACACACAGCACACACACAAAAAGAAAGGTCATCATATTTTTTTAAAAAAAGCTTTAAAAATCCTCAAAATAATTGGGGGAGAAGAGGCACATTATCTCTTTAGCCCCCAGAATCCCTAAAATAATTTTTTAAATCCTTATAGTAAATTCAAATAAGGGTCTGGAGTGATTGTAAAGCAGGTAGGGAGAGTATTTGCCTTGCAAACGACCAATCTGGGTTCAATCTACATATGGTTCCCATGCCTGCCAGGAATGATCCCTGAGCACAGGACCAGAAGTAAACCCTAAGAACAGCCAGGTGTGTCCCATAAACAAACAAACACAAAAGTTTATTCATTCATCCTTTAAGATAAATATTCAGTTTCCTCACTTGTTTGTGGAATTTATTACTAGCTAATTTCAATAATTATACTGCTTTGCTAAAGCCATATCCTAATGCATAAAAAAAGCATTTCTTACAGATTTGATTCTGATGACTGAGAGAGGGTTTTCCAGGAAACTTTAAATGCTTTGTAGAATGTCATACATTTTCATACACAAAAGGGGAACGAATGTTACATTCTCATATATAATATGTGTGTGAATGTTGTTCTTCTTGTATCTATAATGATGACCAATAATTAGATTTCAAAGTATTTGTTAAAAGAGGAAAAAAATGTGAAAAGAGGAAGAGCATGAGTAATGAAGAAGAGCAGAGGAAGTTTTTTTTAAAAAAAAGCAGAGAAGAGGAATGAAAAGTAAGAGGAGGAGAAAAAGTGAAATAAATATAGGGGGGAAGAAGGAAAAAATTGCATTCTGCAGTTAATCAAGAAAGGCATTTTTAAAGTAAGTGTCAGAATATTTCTTCCAAGTGCTTCACTTGAAATTTATATATTTTATCAAGTTCATTTGTAGTTATGTTACTTAAAGTCAACATCAGAGGAAAAAAACAATAAAGAACTAACTCTTAGGCTGTTCTTACACATAAATGTATTGAGTAAAAAGGTAATTTTTTTTCCAACTCAGGCTTGAGAGTATTAAGTTACAGACTTGTTATAAATTAGTTCTTTGCAGACTCAACAATATTTAAATGTTCTCATGTTTTAGTCAAGCCACTATGTGTGCAATGAGAAGTGACAGGTGTGGTCATTTACCATATACTTACTGTAAGGAAGACCAGTGTTTCCAGAAAAGTAAGTCCTGAAGAAAAGTCACAACTTAAACAGAGCCTGTGCATACCAGTACAAACTAAGAAACTTACATGCCAATGCCCCGCATTCTGCTCTGTTCGCCCTAATCTCTCTTCTTCTTCAAGTATCAGAGTGTCCCATGCTGTTGATCCACTGCTTTGTGCTTTCTATTTTAAAAATAAATTTTAGCTATGAAGATTCCTAACACATCTTTCTTCCTATGGAACACACAAAACTTTAAAGGTTATTTTTAAGTTTTGTATAGAAACTAGTTTGATAGCCATAACATAGACCCATAAGAACATAGAGGATATTTTTAAAACTAGAAAGACAACTCCAATGTCCAGTTATCCACAGTGATTAGAGGTCCCCTGGAAGAAGAATCTCTTTAAGTCAATTTTCTAATTCTTGTCTGTGTTCAGTCAGTACAGAAGTACAGAATCCCTCTACATCCTTTCACTAGAGCTATAGGTCTAACGGCAGAGGGGGAGTTCAGAGATTTTACCTCTGTGTTTCACTCTACCAAGCAAACCTCTTAGTCCCACCTTCTCAACACCTACACTTCTCAGGATATACAGGCATGGGTTTTATTTGTCTCGGCAACTCACCTCGGTGCTATTTTCTCAGGGGAAGAACCATTGAGTTTAGAAATCTGCCAAAATGGCAACCAAGGCCTTCTCCTTTTCTACAATGTCCCCTCTGGCCAAAGAATAACATTTCTGACAAAGTGCAAAACTTCATCTAGATCTTAGATAATCGTAGGGCCACCTGGCAGAACCTAGATTCTCCACCCTTTTTAAAAAATAAATTCTGAATACCAATAATCTACAAGGCACTGTGTTCTTGGACAACAATAGCAACAGGTAATTGGGTGGTTTATCCCAAGCCCTGATTGAAACCCACTGTGGGAGGTGCCCTTTAGGATGTGGCAGGCACTATTATTATTTCCATTTACAAACAAAATACAGAATGAGCTTCTGTGACTTTAGGAAATTATAAATAGTGTCTTTTAAATTAATTTTATATTAAGGCACTGATTTACAAAGTTATTCATAGTTGAGTTTCAGGCATCCTATGTCCAATATCCATCCCATCTATGTCACGTTCCCTCCATCAATGTCCCTAAATTCTTTCCCATCCCAGAGCCTGGCTCTCTGGCTTAGGTATATAGATACATCACACCTCCACACCACTGATGTGCCTGAGGACACTGACCCATAACACTGTTAGCTCTCATCAACTTCCAACTCTGCCCCCGCCCTCAATTTCTATCTTCTGAGAAGGAAGCACCAAATAAAGGGTGTTGGGAGGATCCTCCCAGGATGGGAGATGCATGCTGAAAGTAGACTATAGACCGAACATGATTGCCACTCAATGCCTCTTTTGAAAACCACAGCACCCAAAAGGAGAAAGAGAACAAAAGGGAATGCCCTGCCACAGAAGCAGGGTGGGATGTAGAGAATGGGGGGTGGGAGGGATACGGGACCCGTGGTGGTAGAAAACAGGCACTGGTGGAGGGATGGGTACTCGATCATTGTATAATTGAAATCCAAGCACAAAAGTTTGTAAGTCTACAACTGTGCCTCATGGTGTTTCACAAATAAAAATTTTTAAAAAAATCTGTCTTCCCTGTCCTCATTGCTATAATCGAGGATCATGGGTAATGTACATATCTCCCCTTTGATTTGTTGTTCTATAATTCTATATACCATAGATAAGTGAGATCATCTAGTTATTTCCCTTTTTCTGACTTCATATGACATGATATAAAATGAATAGTGTTTTTCAATTTACTTTTCATTGCTTTAAGTATTCACACAAATACATTATATATTGATATTTTATTCTGCAATACGTCTATACTTACATACATACTACATTTTAATCATATTTTCTGTATCAAAGCCATAAATTGTGTAAATACAAAATTGAATTGTTCCTTTTCAAACCTATTTTTCTTATTCAGTGACTGAGATTAACAGACTTTACAAAATAGTTTAGAAAAGTCACTTGACCAGTAAATTAACTCACCATACCAACTTTCCTCAAAAAGTCAGAGAAACACACAAGTGTACAATATAAACACATCTTTTTAACATTTAACTGTTAAGTTCCCACTGAGGAAATTAGGTTCTTAAGAAGGAATAAAAAGCATCCAAATATCCAAGAATATTAAAGCTATCTGTATATGCAATGATATGATTTCATATACAGTAAACTTGGAGCTATATACATCAAAATATCTACTCTAGCTAATAAACAAGTTCACCAAAATTGCTAAGAAATACAAAAAACATCTGCACTTCTATAAACTAGCAATTTCCGGAACAATCATGAAATTAAGAAGACAATTATATTTACAAAAATATCAGAAAGAAAAAAAGAACAATTTTTAAATGTCAAAGTATTTCACACCAAATTAAAACAATTATTAAAGAAAATAAGTTAGGACCTCCATCTCTCCCTGCAAGACCCCAGGTGTCTCCCGAGACACCTGGAGAGAAGCAGTTTTAAGCATCTGCCTTCCCCTCTTCACTCCTCACGCGGCGCCCATCTCATCCCAAACCCAGGTCAGCTCAGCCGCCGGGTCGCAACCCTGGACCTCCATCTCTCCCTGCAAGACCCCAGGTGTCTCCCGAGAAGCCTGGAGAGAAGCAGTTTTGAGCGTCTGCCCTCCCCTCTTCACTCCTCCCTCGGAGCCCATCTCATCCCCAAACCCAGATTTCCATAGAGGTGTGGCCTCTTCACAAGTGGGCATGGCTTCAAAAGTGGGTGTGGCTTATTTTCTGGCTGGTGGCCGCTAATGCTGCCGCAGGTTGTTTACCCATACTAAGGAACCTAGTACCCAAGGAATCTAGACCCCACCCTACTGAGCAATATGAAGAAACAAAGAAAATTCCCACCACAAGGGGAGGACAACGAAAACGATCAAGAAGATTCTGTCGATACCGCTCACCTAAGTGACCTCTCTGACATAGAATTCAGATGGAAAGTCATGAAGATGTTCAATCAACTCAATGAAACAGTCAGACAGCCAGCCAGTAACACCACAGAAAAAATCGACAAATTACGCAAAGAAATGAGAGCAGAAATGTCACGATTAAAAGATTCCGTAGATGAAATCAGAAACTCAGTCTCTTCTCTTAACAATAGAATGACCACAGCTGAAGAGAGAATCAGTGATCTGGAAGATCAGTTGCACCAAGCCAACACGCAACAACAAACAGTGGCAAGGGACCTCAAAATAGCTCTACAGAGAATCAGAGTCCTAGCAGATGATTCCAAGAGGAACAACATTAGAATCATGGGACTATCTGAACCTCAGGGAAACAATTCCAATGAAAAAAACAGTGTCAAACAAATCATTGCTGAAAAATTCCCAGAGCTCCACAATGCAGCCGTTCAGGTTCAAGGAGCCCGAAGGGTGCCAGCTAAAAGAGACCCGAACAAAAACACTCCAAGACATATCATAGTTAGAATGATCGATGCTGCCGATAGAGACACAATACTGCAAGCAGCAAGGGCAAAGAAGGAAATCACATACAAAGGAGCACCCCTTAGATTCACAGCAGACCTATCAGAGGAAACCCTCCAAGCCCGAAGGCAGTGGCGAGATATAGTAAAAAAAACTCATGGAAATGAATGCTTCACCAAGAATACTCTATCCGGGTAAACTCTCACTCAAAATCGAAGGAACGGTACACTATTTTCTAGATAAACAGCACCTCAGGAACTTCATAGACTCAAAACCAAACCTAAAACAAGGCCTAAAGGGGCTACTATAAGACAAGACAAACCCTACAACCACAACAGATCCTTACAGAAAGATGACACAAAACCCCATAACCATACTCTCTCTCTCAATGTCAACGGTCTAAATTCACCATTTAAGAGACACAGAGTGGCAAAATGGATACAGAGACAGAACCCAACATTCTGCTGCCTACAAGAAACTCATCTCAACAGCCAGAGCAAACACAGACTCAAAGTCAAAGGATGGAAAACAATCCTGCAAGCACACAGCTCCTTAAAAAAATCTGGGGTGGCCATACTAATATCCGACAACATTAATTTCATGTTGAAAAAGATTAGAAGGGACAGTGAAGGCTATTTCCTCTTCATCCAGGGATACGTACAACAGGAAGAAATCACACCCTTAAAAGTATACGCACCTAATGAGGGAAAAACTAAATATTTAAAACAACTGCTAAAAGATTTTAAGGAGGACATCACTCCAACACAATAGTACTTGGAGACTTCAACATCGCCTTATCACCTCTGGATAGATCAATAAGAACAAAACACAGCAAGGAATTATTGGCTTTGAAAGAAGAAATAGAAGAGAAAGGGCTTATGGACCTATACAGGGTTTTACACCCCAAAAAGAAAGAATACACATTCTTCTCCAGTGCGCATGGAACATTTTCCAAAATAGACCGTGTACTAGGACACAAAACATACCTCAACAGAATCAGGAAGATAGAAACAGTATCAGCCATCTTTTCAGACCATGATGCATGGAGGATAGAAGTGAATAACACAAAGACACGGAGAACCAAATCAAACACCTGGAAATTAAACAACTCGATGCTGAACAACAAGTGGGTCAGGAACGAAGTCAAGGACGAAATAAAAAGATACCTGGAAACAACTGAGAATGAAGACACAAACTACCAGAACTTATGGGATGCAGTGAAAGCTGAATTAAGGGGAAAATTTATAGCTCTGCAAGCATATTTTAGGTTGGTAGAAACGATACACATAAACAATTTGACCTCACAGCTCAAGACCTTAGAAAAGGATCAACAGAAAGAGCCTAAATCAGGCAGCAGGAAAGAGATCATAAAACTTAGAGCAGAAATCAACGACACGGAAAACAAAGAAACAATCCAAAAGATGAATGAAACCAAGAGCTGGTTCATCGAGAAAATAAATAAGATAGATAAACCACTAGCAACACTCACAAAGAAACAGAGAGAGAGAGCCCTAATAAATCGAATCAGAAATAAGAATGGGGATATCACAACAGAAACTAAAGAAATTCAAGAGATCATCAGAGACTACTTTGAAAGTCTGTATGCCACGAAACACGAGAACCTAGAAGAAATGGATAAATTCCTGGATTCCTATCATCTCCCAAAGCTGAATCAAGAAGATATAGAGTACCTGAATAGACCTATTCACATCAAGGAAATAGAAACTGTAATCAAAAGCCTTCCGAAAAACAAAAGCCCAGGCCCAGATGGATTTACTAGCGAATTTTTTCAAACATTTAAAGAGGACCTATTGCCAGTTATTCACAAACTTTTCCAGGAAATTGAAAAAACAGAAACTTTCCCAGTTTCTATGAAGCCCATATCTCTCTAATACCAAAAGGAAACAAAGACACCACAAGAAAAGAAAACTACAGTCCGATATCCCTGATGAACACGGATGCAAAGATTCTCAACAAAATGCTAGCCAATAGAATTCAACAACTCATCAAAAAGATCATACATCATGACCAAGTGGGATTCATCCCAGGGATGCAAGGATGGTTCAACATTCAGAAATCAATCAACATAATCCATCATATCAACAAAAGAAAAGATAAAAATCGTATGATCATATCAATAGATGCAGAGAAAGCATTCGACAAGATCCAGCACCCATTCGTGATGAAAACCCTTGCCAAAATGGGTATACAGGGGACTTTCCTCAACATAGTTAAAGCCATCTACCACAAACCTACAGCAAACTTCATCCTCAATGGGGAAAAACTGAGACTCTTCCCCCTAAGGTCAGGGACGAGACAAGGATGCCCACTCTCTCCACTACTGTTCAATATAGTACTGGAAGTACTTTCAATAGCAATTAGGCAAGAAAAAGATATTAAGGGCATCCAGATAGGGAAGGAAGAAATTAAGCTCTCACTATTCGCAGATGATATGATACTATACTTAAAGAACCCTAAAACCTCTACCAAGAAACTCCTAGAAACAATAGGCTTGTATAGTAAAGTGGCAGGCTATAAAATCAATACCCAAAAATCCATGGCTTTCCTATATGCAAATAGTTAAAGAGAAGAAAGTGACATGAAGAAAACAATCCCATTCACAATTGTGCCCCAGAAAATCAAGTACCTAGGAATCAGCTTAACTAAGGAAGTAAAGGACCTGTACAAAGAAAACTACAAAACACTACTTCAGGAAATAAAAGAGGACACGAGGAAATGGAAAAATATCCCCTGTTCATGGATGGGGAGAATCAACATTATCAAAATGGCAATACTTCCCAAAGCACTGTACAAATTCAATGCAATCCCTATAAGGATACCCATGACATTCTTCAAAGAAATGGAGAAAACACTCCTGAAATTTATATGGAACAATAAGCCCCCACGAATAGCTAAAGCAATTCTTGGGAAAAAGAAAATGGGAGGAATCAACCTCCCTAACTTCAAACTGTACTACAAGACAGTAATAATTAAAACAGCATGGTACTGGAACAAAGGCAGAGCTGCAGACCAATGAAACAGAATTGAATATACTGTCATTTCCTCCCAAACATATAATCATCTAATCTTTGATAAGGGGGCAAGAAATGTGAAATGGAACAGGGAAAGCCTCTTTAATAAACTGTGCTGGCAAAACTGGACGGCTACATGCAAAAAAGTGGGCTCAGATCTCTGCCTAACGCCATGCACAAAAGTAAGATCGAAATGGATTTATGACCTCAACATCAGACCGGAATCCATAATGTTTATTGAAGACAAAGTTGGCAAAACTCTCCATGATATTGAAGCTAATGGTATCTTCAAAGATGTCACGCCACTGGCCAAGCAAGTGAAAACAGAGATAGACAAATACACATCCGACAAGGGGTTGATATCAAGGATATACAAGGTACTGGTTAAACTCCACAATAAGAAATCACCCAACCCCATCAAAAAATGGGGCAAGGAAATGAACAGAAACTTTCGCAAAGAAGAAATTCTAATGGCAAAAAGGCACATGAGAAAATGCTCTACATCACCTACATCACTAATCATCAGAGATGCAGATCAAAACAACAATGAGATATCATTTCACAACACAGAGACTGGCCAACATCCACAAGAACAAAAGCAATCGGTGCTGGCCCGGATGTGGCGAGAAAGGGACCCTCCTTCACTGCTGGTGGGAATGCCGGCTGGTGCAACCCTTTTGGAAAACAGTATGGACGATTCTCAAAAAATTAGAATTTGATCTCCCATTTGACCCAGCTATAGCACTCTTGGGAATATATCCCAGAGAGACAAAAAGGTATAGTCGAAGTGACATCTGCAATTGTTTGTTCATTGCAGCACTCTTTACAATAGCCAGAATCTGGAAAAAACCTGAGTGCCCGAGAACAGATGACTGGTTAAAGAAACTTTGTACATTTACACAATGGAGTACTATGTAGCAGTTAGAAAAGATGAAGTTATGAAATTTACATACAAGTAGTACTACATGGAAAGTATCATGTTAAGCGAAATGAGTCAGAAAGAGCGGGATAGACACAGAAAGATTGCATTCATTCAAGCAACAAAAAGGGAGACTAACACCCAGGAATGGCTGAGATTAGTACCAGGAATTTTGCTCCATGACTTGAAGGCCAGCCTTACGTGCTAGGTGAAAAAGAAGCTCAGATAGAGAAGAGAGCACCAAATAAAGGGTGTTGTGAGGACCCTCTCAGGGTGGGAGAAGCATGCTAAAAGTAGTCTACAGACCAAACATGATTGCCACTCAATGCATCTCTTGCGAAACACAGTATCTAAAATAAGAGCGAGAGAACAAGGGGGAATGCCCTGCCACAGAGGCAGGGTGGGACGGAGGGATGGGGGGTGGGAGGGATGCTGGGACCCGTGGTGGTGGAGGATGGGCACTGGTGGAGGGATGGGTACTTGATCATTGTATAACTGAAACCCAAGAACAAAAATTTATGTCTATAACTGTACCTCATGGTGTTTCACTAATAAAAAAATTTAAAAAAAGAAAAAAAGAAAAAAAAGAAAATCAGATAACTAAATGTACCTCTGCTTGTGGAATTAATAATTTAATGTAATTATCCCTGTCCAAAGTATTTATAGATTCAAATTAATCAATATCAAAATTTGTTTATATGCCGCTTTTGTAAAAATAGAAAAGTCAATCCTAAAACTTGTATGGCATTGCAAGGAACCCAAAATAGCCAAATAAAAGCACATATCCCAATATCTGAAGTTAATAAAATCTTTAGTAATTAAGAAAGTGTATTATTATCACAATGACACACACACACATCACGGTACGGTCCTTCCATTGTTCATCGATTTGCTCCAGCGGGCCCAGTAACATCTCCATCATGAGACTTCTTGTTACTGTGTTTGGCATATCGAATACATCACGGTGTAGCTTGCCAGGCTCTGCCGTGCAGGCAAGATACTCTCGGTAGCTTGCGGGGCTCTCCGAGAGGGACGGAGGAATTGAACTCGGGTCAGCCATATTGGCCGCTTGTAAGGCAAATGCCCTACCGCTGTGCTATCGCTCCAGCCCCGCACACACACATATATCCAAGCAATAAAGCTTATAGTTTATCAAAAAAAAATATTATGTATTATCAATTGAATATTTCAAGGTAGTTAAAAACATTCAATACATAAATACTATCTTCTATAAGTATACTGAGGTAACTGACTATCCAGTTACAAAAGATTGAATAAGGATGCTCATATCATACTATGAAAAAAGTGAAACAACCTAATGAACAGGAAAATAATTTGAAAATCATAAATCTGACATTTATCTAATATCAAGTATATATAAAGACTTCTTACTAACCAACAACAAAATAATTGCAATCTTTTTGAGTGCAAAAGACTTGAATATGAATTTCTCTAATGTATACAGATGACTAAAAACATATTAAAATATCTGAAAAACTTTACTCATGAGAAAAATAAAAATTATAATGATATGCCATTGGACATCCACTATGTGACCATCTTTAAAAATAAAAAAGCTGGCAAGAATATTGAAGGATTATATTGATAGGAATAAAGATTATCTAGAATTTTGGAAAATTAAAAGTTCTTTTAAAAATTTCAGTGCAGGGGCTGGAGTGACAGCATAGTGGCTAGGGTGTTTGCCTAGCACGCAGCTGACCTGGGTTCAATCCCCAACGTCCCATATGGTCCCCCAAGCACTGCCAGGTGTAATACCTGAGTGCAGAGCCAGGAATAACCCCTGAGCATCGATGGGTATGACCCAAAAAGCAAAAAAAAAAAAAAAAATTTCAATGCAAACTCTGACTCAGCAAATTCAGTTCTAAAATATACCCAATAACTGAAAACAAATGCATAAAAATGTATAGAAGAAAAACTAAAATTAGAAAAAAAGATAAAAATACACAAGTTTTGTCAACTAATGATGGATAATAATCCATATAATCCATAATAATCCATATGATGCTATGCCCATATAGTATTATTCACATTTAGTGGTAAATGAAATGAAAAGCTACTGTAAACATTGGCAACATTGAACTAATAGAGTACACAACCCTCCCCCACAAGAAAGTGTATTATGTCACATTCCTCTTCTCTAACCCCAGATATCTTTTCTGGTGTCTTGAAGCATACCAACAGCTAATAGAGATCAGACTCAAATCTGGGACCTAAGTACAAGGAATAAGTCATCCAGAAGACTCCAGTATAGCCACATTAGTAACAATCACATTCCATGCCCCTCTCCCACTTACTGATACAACTTTACTGTGTCTACCATCCCCTACTTCCTTCAGTAAATACAACTAGCAGTAACTATAACAAAATCCATACCAAAAGCATCTGGAGAAGAGAGCTGTAAGAAGCTGAGTTCAAGTTGCTGATGCAGATTTTAAACACAAACATACACACATACACATATAACTGTAAACAATC